CCCTGGAGGTCAGCCCGGAGACCAATGGGACTTCTCACGAAGCCCTGGAGGTCAGCCCGGAGACCAATGGGACTTCTCACGGAGCCCTGGAGGTCAGCCCGGAGACCAATGGGACTTCTCACGAAGCCCTGGAGGTCAGCCCGGAGACCTACAGGACCCGCGATGAAGGCCTGGATGCAGGTCGGGAGGTTGGAGGGATATGACGTCTGCAGGTCTGCGATGCCAGACAGGGAACTTGGCGCTCGCGGGAGTCTGATGGTCTGGTGACGAAAGAGACCTGAGTTTGATGGCATCAAGTTCCCATGGCACCGCAGTCCTGCGGTCCTCAAGGTCTCCTGCCAACATCTGTCAAGCTCTTCCGCCATAAGCCCCCAACTGTCACGCTCCCCTGACTCCGCAGTCCTGTTGTCCTCAAGTTTTCTGCCACTGATAATCATTCATGAAGCCTGGAGTCCTCATTACACTTCTTTATTTAGAAGTACCATCTTTCAACCCAGTACCTAAGATTGTCGGTTTGGTACATTTTCAGAAGTGTATCAGAGAAGCCTCCGACCACACGTCTTAATACATGTGGCCTGCTGGCTTCGTGGGTTTCTGCTTCAGATGGCTGCTGGTTCTCCTGCTCCCCTCTGTCTCTCAGCCTTTTGTTCAGCTGTTCTACTTCAAGCTGCAGGTCGGTGTTTATATTCTCCAAGACATTGTTTTCCTGCTCCAAGGCCGTGTTTATTTGCTCCAGGACAGTGCTTTTCTCCTCCAGGGTGGTGCTTTTTAGCTTCAGAGCGGTGTTTTCCTGCTCGAGGGCAGTGTTCTCCTGCTGCAGGGCGGTCTTTATCTGCTCCAGGGCGGTGTTGTTCTGCTCCAGGGCGGTGTTGTTCTGCTCCAGGGTGGTGTTGTTCTGCTCCAGGGGTGTGTTTATCTGCTCTAAGGCAGTCTTTATTTGCTCCAAAACAGCACTTTTCTGCTCCAGAGCTGTGGTTTTCAGCTTCAGAGCTGTGTTCTCCTGCTCCAGCGCGGTGTTTTCCTGCTCCAGGGCAGTGTTTATCATCTCCAAGGCGGTGATGTCTTGCTCCAGAGCGGTGCTTTTCAGCTTCAGGGCAGTGTTCTCCTGCTCCAGCGCGGTGTTTATCAGGTCCAAGGCAGTGTTTTTCTGCTGCATTTTGGTGTTTTCCTTCTCCAAGGAGGTGATTCTCTGCTCGAGAGCAGTCTTTTCCATCTCCAGAATGGTGCTTTTATCCCCCAAGGCAGTGTTTTTCTGCTCAAGGTCGTTGGTTTTTTTCTCCAGGGCGGTCTTTTCCTTCTCCAGGACCATGTTTTTCTGCTCCAAGGAGGTGGTTTTATTCTCCAAGGCAGTCTTTTCCTTCTCCAGGGCAGAGCTTTTCTTCTCCAGAGCGGTCTTTTCCCTTTCCAGGTCAGTGCTTTTCCTCACCAGATCAGTCTTTTCCTTCTCCAGGACTGTTTTTCTGCTCCAAGGAGGTGGTTTTATTCTCCAAGGCAGTCTTTTCCTTCTCCAGGGCAGAGCTTTTCTTCTCCAGAGCGGTCTTTTCCCTTTCCAGGTC